GCCTACAAATACAAAAAGCTCATTTCAGAATTTCTACTGCTATCCTTTTCAATAATGTAAAGTACTTACACTTTCGTAAGACGATAAAGGTGAGAGGCAGATCGTCAGTGTCAGATCCAGTGAGTGCAAACAAAACTGTTTTATTGAATTAGTTCAAACGCATTCACAGCTACTGTCAAGACAGGTTTTGGCGACTGTAACTGTAAGTACTGACCACTTTCACGTTAAAATCAGCTTTGAGCGTCTAATTGGAGCCTTCAGAACTGACTTACTCATTCCTAGCATCATGTTATTTGTGGTTAGCCTAGAACGGCCTTCATATTTAGGCCCCAAAAAACATGCTAACTCATAGTCTGCCATCTAAACCTTTGCAATAAATATTGTTTTGGGTAAGTATTACATATATATGCTCCATCTGACACAGTAGGTGGAGGCGAACCGTCGTATTACCGGTGCCATTTTGCTTAATTCCAGGGATATTAAGTTTAGGGTTAAAGTTACAGTTAAAGTTTGGTTAGAATCCGAGAATATTTGATCTTCTTGGAATTTAAAGCAGGTTCACCCCTACTAGAGGGGAGGGCTTCCAATTCCAGCGTCCTACTCCGCGGCCATATGGGCGATTTTGACCTTTTTATATGAAGAACACAAGCAGGAGCGTTTAGAAACTTGGCTATAAATCGTTGCCGCAAATTTTCTCTAGCTATGGGAGGTCACTTACATTGTTGCATCCAATGGGTTCTGTAGCCACTGCTGTTTCCAGATGACCTTCAGTGTTCCATTCGGGTGAAATGAAACGGCGCCAAAGGAAGGCGCCTTCCGCCACCGCTGGATTTGCATGGACTTCACAGTTCAGGTGCGCGGTATCGCCCAAAGTTACATTCACATGAACCATCCGGGTTAACACCATCTCAGGAGGATCTAAAGTTAAGGAAAGGCTTGTCAGGTAAATTATCTTCTTGCAAGAAAAGGCGTCCTTTGGGGAAATGAGTAAATTTATTCATTAAACTTTCGACACTGGATCCCCAGGTCGTCGTTAGACTTGAGAAAAAAGGTGCAAAGAACAGCCATCCTTTGCACATTTTTTCTCAAGTCTAACGACGACCTGGGGATCCAGTGTCGAAAGTTCAATGAATAAATTTGCTCATTTTCCCAAAGGACGCCTTTCCATGCACTGACCCTTCTTAGGAGGCCTGCCTTCCACTTCATACGGAAGTATCTTCTTTATAATTTAACGTAGTCAGGAATGTTATATGATACAAATTTCTTAAACAGGTTATAAAGAGATAAAGCGTGTCCCTTCGCAAAATTTGAAGAGATTTTAGAAGCAACTATCTACTGAACTTGTTTTCCAAAAGAGGTCGGATCGGCAAATGTACCATGAGCCTTTTTATTATAATTTAGTGTGTTGTTTTAAAAAGTCGGCTAGAGAAAGCGGCATTGACTATATTCTTCAAAATCAACACAAACTGAACTTGTCCAGATATTTCGCATGTTGTAAACAGATGGTGCTACCAGGTATATTCACTAGATCATTTTTCTCGGGGCATTCTATACCAAACCAAAAGCAATTTCTCCTGACAAAAATTAAGCGAAAAAATAATGAAATATATACGGAGCTTTCACGTGCATTTTTGCCTTTAAATGGTCTCACGTCAAACTTCGGTTAGTAGGGCTCCGAGAATGAGTCGCTTTCACAAAAACTGCACAATACATTTTAAATTTACCAGTATAAGTAATGTATATATCCCACAAATTCTGTCTAGATACGGGACGCCCTCATGATAAACCATGACTAGCAGATATACTTGACGAATCATCATCAATCAGATGTTAATCGTATTTGAAGTCATCCACATCGGCTGAATATGAATAGTTAACTTTAATGAAAGAAATATTGTGAGAAGCTGTCATCCATTTTGTAGAAATTATAGTAGATAATTCGTGCCACTGGCAAACAGTCCCTATAAAAAGTAGAGTTAATCAATTGCTGACCGGTATATTATAATAGCCCATTTTGGGCGACAGAAATGCCGTTTTGAGATGAAATTTTAATGTACATTTGAAGGGGTTTTAGGATAATAAGAACATCAAAGTATGTAAACAGGAAAATCAAAGTATGTAAACAGAAAGTATGTAAACAGGTAACACGAACTTAATACGACTTTCAAGTACACCTATCGGTCAGTGTGTACAGGGTTCTCCTCAGTTGACGCACAGTGCCACGGGATATCTGTTGGCAGGTGGGCTTCTTAATATTTAGCTAGTTTAATTTGACTATAGGAAATATTGGTACTGAATACACGACGAGAGCCAGTTTTGACTATATAGGACGTAAAGCATTCCCTAAATCCGTTTTACGGAGGTAAAATGAGAATATACCATTTGAGCATATAAGTCAGCAGCATGGGGTGTGCAGACTTATTATAAACTTACAGGTAATATTGAGGATGAAAGTGCTGCTTTTAGTTCCCACGGCGTTGGTCGCTTCTATTGTGTAATTATTCATATGACGCCGCTTCACATTCCACAGAGTCAGCAGTCGAGCGTTCGGATTGCCGGCGAAGACGCCCGAGGCCGACTTCATTTGACGGCGTATTGTACTGGAAGTTTTGTCTGCATCGTTTTGGATTGGAGAGACCT